CCCTACATAAAAAAGGGAAAAAGTCCGAGGCAGCCAACTACAGAGGCATCTCTAAGTTGTCCGCAATTCCAAAGTTATTTGAAAAATTAGTTACCCCTCATTTGCAACACCTTTGCTCTTCGATTATCACTCCTTGTCAGCATGGCTTTATTAAGGGTCGCTCCACCACCACAAACTTATTGGAGTTGACATCCTTTGTCACAGATGGCTTTTGTAAGGGATATCAAACCGATGTAATTTACACGGACTTCAGCAAAGCATTTGATTCAGTTAATCACTCACTCTTGTTGAGTAAACTGAATATGCTGGGTTTTCCTAAAGACCTCTTAACGTGGATCTCCAGCTACCTAGATGGAAGGACACAAAGAGTCTTATTTAAAAACATACAGTCCCGTCTGGTCCGTGCTACATCTGGCGTCCCTCAAGGAAGTCATCTTGGCCCGTTATTATTTACGCTTTTTATAAACGACTTGCCCTCTGTTTTAACGAACTCTCTAGTTCTTATGTATGCAGATGATGTAAAGCGTTGTCTTCAGTACAAATCCATCTCTGCCCAATGCAGTCTTCAGTCTGACCTTGATAACTTTCAAAAATGCTGTTTAGCTAATGATCTAATACTTAATGGATCAAAATGGAAGCATATGACTTTTTATCGTTCTTGCCCTCTGCAAGCTACTTATTCTATTAATGGGTTTGCCTTAGGGAAATTAACTCAGTTTTATGATCTCGGCATCCTATTAGACATCAAACTTAAATTTGCCGACCATATTTCCTTAATGGTTAATAAGGCTAAAAGAGTCCTTGGTTTTATTAAAAGGTGTTCAAAAGAACTTAATGAACCCTATATAACCAAAACATTATTCATTTCTTTGGTCCGTCCTATACTGGAGTACGGTTCATGTGTCTGGAGTCCCCAATATGGAGTACATAAGGACCGCATAGAATCCGTACAAAAGAACTTTTTAATATTTGCACTTAGAGGTCTATATTGGGATGCAAATCTTCAGCTTCCATCCTACAGGAGCAGACTTTTACTTAAAAACTTACCTAGCTTAATCCAGTGTTTGTTTTAAGGCATTCCCCGTGATCGGCCAAGCGGCGACATTATCTTTTATTCGCACTCCGCTAGATGATGACCACGAAGCATTCGCCCCGGCGGAGCCCCAGGCTGGAAGCCACGGGTTTTCCCGCAACTTCGACCGCCACGGCCACAGCAACTGGCACCTCGGCCAGCTCTGCGAGTCTCGCGAGTCGGAGCTGGAAAAGGCAAGGGCAAATGGAGGACAAGCAGAGGCCGCCAGGGATCCCGTTACAATCGGGGAACGTGGCGTTGGAGTGAGCGGTGTGGCGAATACACCGCCATGTTTGAGTGGAACGCTGCCACGCCAGGGAGCAGCGCAACTGAGTTTGAGTGGAAACAGGCAGATGCACAGGCAGATGAGTGACAATCTGCAAACGGAGCTTGGAGTGACGTCATCGCTGCAGTTGCCGGCTCAAATTAGTGCAAATTTGCCGCCACAATGGAGTGGCAATTCGGCGGCCATTGTGCAAACGGGCAACCTGTCACACGGACACACACACCAACAACAACATTGGGCTATTTTCCGCCATTTTGTGTGACCGCAACGGGGCAGCCTGGACTATGTTATGTTCATCCGCCACGGGAGCCGACACACAATTTGGAGGTATCTGAACCATCGCCCCAGTCATATGGAATGGCGACGGCGAGCGTACGGACGCCACGTAGATTGCCTGATCTTCCCGATTTCGTGGGTCAGCCACAGGAATGGCCAATATTCGTGTGCGCGTTCACGGAGACAACGGCAGCCACCCAGTGCACCCAATTGGAAAATAACCAAAGGCGAGACAGTGAAGTCGCTGTTCATCCATCCCAACAACTTAGAAGCTGTTATGGAGCAGCTTCGATTCCGGTATGGACGTCCGGAGCGTGCGCGATGTGCAGCCAATTCAGGAGGCCAACATCGCAAAGATCGACGAAGGTGAGCATCCTGGCAGGGTTCCTGCAGTCAACCACGATTGGCAACCAGCACCTAGGGAACCCAACCTAATGGAGGAGCTGATCGCCAAGTTGCCACTGAGCAATAGGTTGCCCCAGATGTTGCCCTATACGCGATGGACTACTCCAGATCAGGGACTGCAAGGAGTTCAACAGCGTTTCCACAACGACGCGTGTCGAGTCCGCGAGGAAGCTGAGGCTATGCTTCTCGTGTCTGGAGGCCGGACACATGTCCCGGTACTGCAGGAAGAGCCGCGGATGCAATGTCTGCGAATGCCAAATGAGGCATCACTACCTTCTCCAGTCACCTGGACATTCCAGACGGCCGCCAGTCGCAGATGGAGACCGCAGGAGGGATCAGAGAAGCAGTCAGGACCAACGGCTGTGCAGAGACAGCAGCAAACGGAGAGGAATGCCACGACCAGTGGATTCCAACGAGAGAAGCCTACGTTCTACGTTAGCCACAGTTATAGACGCGGGGCGTGAGCAGGATGAAAGGCGATCGACGTGTGACCGTTAGGAATTTCCGCATCGAAACCTGAGCTGCATTGATTCGATTGGATGTCACCTTTTACTCCGGATTCTACCCGTGATGCTGTACGGGGAGAATACACAGGTCGACACCTACGCACTACTGGATGAAGGATCGTCTGTCACGCTCATCGACGACGAACTCATCCGCAGCCTGAACCTGATAGGTGAGAGCCGCCAACTGAACGTGCAGTGGTTTGGTGGGAAATCTGCCAAAGAACACACGAAAGTGGTCAACCTGCAGATCAGTGAAGCGGGCAACTTAAACCTTCCGATGCAGAGCCAGAGTCGGGAGAATGCAAAGGGAGTGAAGGTGAATGCGCGTCTACCTGTGAAGCCGTACAACAATGCGACGCCAAGGATCCTAATTGGACTGGATCATGCGCATCTTGGAACACCTTTCAAAACAAGAAGCAATGAATCCGGAGGACAATATGCAGCAGCCACCGCACTTGGATGGGTGGTATATAGACCGGTGAACTGAAAGTCGAGCTCGCCGCTCCAGAGTTCGTGCCTCCTAGCCGTGCCCCAGGATAATCTTCTGGAGAAGATGGTAAGCGACTATATCGAAATCGAAAATTTCGGAGTAAGGCCGGCACAGCTAGTCGCAGCTGGCAGAGTGGCGCTGGCGCCGTCAGTCGCAGTTGGCAGCGACGCACTGGCCCTGAGTATCCAGGAGGAGACGACTAAGCGAGTAAGCGAGACGTTACGAGACTGGGCTGCTAAGGAGAGAGACGAGTTGAGACTGCCGGAGAGCTACAATATGGCTCTCAAAAGACTCGTCAACATCGAGGGAAAAGTGAGACGCGATGTGGACTTCGCTCGGGCCTATAAGGGCAAAATGGACGATCACGTCAAGAAGGGGTACACACGACGACTGGAGCCCCAGGAAGCCCAGAGGTTCTAGGAAGGCAAGTTATGGTACCTGCCGCACTTCGGAGTGGAAAACCCGAACAAACCTGGATAAATCCGGCTGGTCTTCGATGCTGCTGCCAAGGTGAACGGCGTTTCCTTTAATTCAGCGCTAATGAGAGGCCCACAGCGATATAAGCCCCTCCCAGCAGTGCTTTTCTATTTTCGGGATGGAGCAGTTGGGGTTTGTGCAGACAACAAGGAGATGTTTCATCAGGTACTGATGCAGCCACAGGACAGATGTGCCCAGAGGTTCCTGTGGAGAAACGGAGATGACCAGCGGGAGCCGGACGTATACGAGATGAAAGTGATGATGTTCGGAGCAGCTCGCTCACCATGTTCGGCGGACTATGTGAAGACCTTCAATGCCTCGCAGTACAGCAGAATGGAAATGCGAGCAGCCCTAGCTATTAAGGAATACCACTATATGGACGACTACGTCAACAGTTTCACCAGTGAAGAAGAAGCTCTCGCCATTTCGATACGGGTGAGAGAAATTCATGCAGATGCAGGGTTTGACTTGTGTCGATTCACCTCCAGTTCGGCAAGTGTGGTCAGAGCGTTGAACCCACTTGAATCCATCGTTAGCGTGGAATGGACCGAAGCTGAGGAGAAGGCACTAGGAATGTACTGGCAGCCGGCTACAAATGACTTCAAGTTCGGCGTCAAATATCATCGAGTCCCGAGAAGCGTGATGACAGGGGAACGCGTCCCTACCAAGAGGTACTTCCAAAGCCTGGTCAAGTCCACGTTTGACCCGATTGGATTCCTGAGCTGCTACATGGTGACTGCCAAATTGTTAATACGAGAGATTTGGCGGAGAGGAGTCAACTGGGACGAGCTGCTACCAGATAATTTGGCCGCAGCCTTTGAGGACTGGCGGAAAGGAATGAGCAAAATCGAAGAGTTCCGATGTACACGCTACTACTTCGGCGGTGACTCCAGACAGTCGGCGTTCGCAGCAGCGGCCTATTGGCGGGCCACTTACGAAAACGGAGACGTTCCGGCGCTTTTCATAAGTACCAAGACGAAATGCGCTCCGATGAGGACTATGTCGATCCCGCGACTGGAACTTCAAGCAGCAGTATTGGGCACAAGACTGACGGACACCGACAAGCAGGAGCACGGTGTGCCAATCAGCAACTGCGTATTATGGACGGACTCTAAGATTGTGTTGCACTGGAAAAGCAGCACCCACCGGAGATACAAGCAGTTCATCGGTAAACGGGTGGCAGAGATCTTAGAATTCACGGAGGCGTCCTAGTGGAGATGGCCGCGTAAGGCCGTGGACCTGAGCATCGATTCGCATTGGCTAAGCGGTCCAAAAATTTCTACGAGGACCAGAGGAGAGCTGGCCAAGATGGAGTGAAGGATGGATTCCACCGACGACCGACGAAGAGGCAATAAAATATGAGTTTGCTTTAATTATGGTAAACTTAATATCCTTGCTGAGATTCTCCAGCTACCGCATGGGTGCTCAGATTCATTCGACTGGTGCCGTGGACAACGATACGGTGGAGAGGATCACGGACTGACGTCGATGGAGTGCACTGAAGCTGAGTGCGCACTGGTATGGCAATCGCAGCGAGAAGCGTTTGCTGAGGACAGCCAAGGAAGAGCCGCCAAGGGCAGCCGACTACATGGACTGTCCCCATACTTCGACGAGGACGGAGTAATGCGAGCCAGCGGAAGGATCGACGAGGCGACGAGAGAGCCAAACAGCGCTCGTCGGCCGATCATACTGTCTCAAGAGAAGAAATTGGCGGAGATGATCGTGCAGCATCACCACAAGAGGATGTGCCACCAAAACACGGAGGCAGCCATCGGAGCAATCCGGCAGAAGTCCTGGATTACGAACTTACGGAGGGTGGTGAGCAAGTGCAACGTTTGTAAGCCCGAGATGTGTCCCCTGCCAGAGGACCGGCTGAAAGCCAACGAATGGCCCTTTAAGTTTATAATTAAGCTATTTGTGACGGTTGAACGTCACACGGAGAAGAGGTGGGTGGCACTGTTTACGTGTCTGACCACAAGAGCTATCCACTTGGAGATAGCTCACGATTTGTCCACCGATTCCTGCATAATCGCTATAAGGAACTTCATGAGCCGACGTTTACCCGTCGTCAGGATTAGGAGCGACAATGGAAAAAACTTCGTTGGAGCCGATCGCGAGACCAACTGGTTCAGCGAAGTGTTTGAGCCTGTACAGATCCAAGGCGAGCTGTCGTCTAAAGGAGTCGAATGGATCTTCAATTCCCCGGCGAACCCAGCTGAGGCAGCCCAGGTGGCACCTGGGAAAGCATGGTGCAGTGTAAGAAGAAGGTGCTGGGGCACACGATGCAAGAACTCGCGCCCAAGGAGCACGTACTGGAGAACCTGCTGATTGAAGCGGAGAGCATAATAAACTCTCGTCCGCTCACTCATCTATCAGTGACGGTAGACCAGGAAGCTCCACTGACACCCCACGATTTGCTGAATGGAGCACCCGATGTCCCAGATCTTTCCAAGGATGACGGACAGGAGTCCGTGAGATGCGCCACCAGAAAGCAGTGGCGCATAAAAAGGATGATGCGGGATCGATTCTGGAAGGGATGGGTGCATGAGTACCTGCCGACTTTTCTGCGCGGGTAGAGATGGTGCAAGCACTCATTTCTCGAGGAGACCTGATGTTTATCTGTGATCCAGAAACGAGGCGTCATGGAAAAGGTGTTCACCGGAAGAGATGGAGTACCTCGTCGAGCGGCAGTGCGGACTAACGATCGAGCCTAGACAATGCGTCCCGCTTCGAAGCTAGCTGTCCTAGACGTGGTGAATGTGGCTGCTTTACGGGGGTGGGGATAGCGTGGAACGGATTAGGGCTATCGATAGTTAGTCAAGTTCAAATTTAGCGCCGATCGACGAAGTCAGTACTACATATAATGTTGTCTGGTATTTTTATACCGTTGCAGAGGGTATTATTATTTTGGTCAAAAGTATGCAACGCAGAGAAGGAGACATCTCTGACCCCATAAAGTTTGTATATTTTTGATCAGGATCACCTCCTGAGTTGATATAAGCATGTCCGTCTGTGCGTCTGTCTGTTTGTCCGTCTGTCGGTTTCTACGCGAACTAGTCTCTCAGTTTTAAGGCTATCTATTTGCACACACCTTTCTTTTCTTTGCACGCAGTATATAAGTTGGAACGGACGGGATCGGCCGACTATATCCTATAGCTGCCATATAACTGATTGATCGGAAATGGTATAACTTTGGTGTTTAGAGCATTCAAATTTGATATGAGAGCTATATTTGGCAGAATACTACGACACGACAAATTTCATAAGTATCGGCCGACTATATCCTATAGCTGCCATACAACCAGGGTCGGATACAGGTATCTGCCTGGGGGAGGGCGATCATAATTTTTGGCTTAAACGACTTCACGACACATTAGAAAATTTACTCTTTGGTCGCGTAAACTCAACACACTTAGATAATGCGATCGACAACTTGAGTGTATTTGAAGACGACGATTAATTATTTACTAAATAAATTTTTCAATAGAATAATAAATATATGACTGAATAGCATAATTTTTTAATTTTGTTTTAATTAGGAGTTATTAATATTTATTTTGTTGTTTCTGAATGAACTAAATATTAAATATTATTACTTATTAATATTTAATATTACCTAAACATCATTCTTACAAGGGTAAAGAGAGTGGGTAAAGAAGAAAGGAGGTAAAAAAAGTGGTCACACAGTGACGGTGCATAAAAATCAGGTGAGAAAAAAACAAAAACCAAAACTACGATCCAGCAGTAGCACATACAAAAATATTTTTTGTTCTGCTCTGCTCTCGCTCTAGATATTTGGCTACGGCTACGAGGAGCACAGAATATTTTTTTCTGCTATTGCCATAGCTATAGCTTTGAACTTTTCGTAGCTCGGAGCAGAGTAGAGCAGACAATTTTTTTTTTCTGCTACGGCATCGCTCCCGCTCTCGGAAAAATGGAACAGCGGTAGCAATAGCAGAGCAATATTTCTATGCATCTCGCTGCTACGGAGTAGTAAATGCAAGCCCTGGTGCCAGTAACAACATCTTCATTTCGAAGTAGCAATTTGTTTTTGATGTCATCTCTGGTCAATTCAACATGGAAACCAACGATGAAACGACTCGATTCTCAGAGTTGATTTCAACTAATTTGCCCCTACGCCCAACTTTTGTGTTTTTGAAGATAGAAAACTGGAACTTGGAACAGATTTTAGTTTTGGTCAGTTAATCCGACCTACCAAATTTCATAACGATCGGCTGACTATATCTTATAGCTGCCATATAACTGAACGATAGGAAATGGTTTTTGGTAGAAATACCAACTTTGGTATTTTTGAAGATAGAAGTTTGAGACTTTTTTTAGATTTTATATTATAATAAATTGGGTTATATTATCATATTCTCATAAGGATCGGCAAACTATATCCGATGTTTGCGATATATATCCGGTTTTAACTGCATGGGTCCGAAGTTCGCTTTCCTTTCTTGTTGAATAAAACTTTGTCACCTACTGATATATCTAAATCCCTTATTTGCTTCTAACATAACTCTAGCTTTTTTATAGGCTACTTCTAATCTATACTTACTCTCCTTAGCATAGTCATCTATATTATATAACGCTTCTACACTATCTATGCTATTAAAATTATTTGGCAAATTACTTGTTTTACCGAATACTAGCTCATATGGACAATAAGTATGTGCCATAGAGGGGGTCGTGTTGAAATTGAAGACAAAATATTGAAGCCATACGTCCCAATCAGTTTTATCAACCGATATGTAAGATCGTATGTACTCATTGAAAGTTCTATGACTTCTATCTATTGTTCCAACTGTCTGGTGGTGGTGTGGTGTTGATGTTATATTTGGTTTCCTTTCTTCTTTCTACGTCAGTTGGTCGTGGTCGGTGGTCCAGGGCAATCCTTCAGGGCAATCCAGGGCATGTCTTTTTAAGCTTTGGTAATGCCTTGGGTGATGGAGGGTTTGTTGTTATTAGTGTTTCATTACTTTTTCTTATTGGCACTGAGTGGCGGCAATTTTTGGGCGTTTATTATTTATTAATTTGTCTTGCAGAAAATCAAGTTCTGTTTGCAGTTTTTGGGCCGTAGCCTACGCGGGAGGTGGAGTATTTACGTAGAGTAGCCACTTTAGGTGTGCTACCCTTTTTTTTATTTTTTTCGCAACTCCTCCGCCTTTTGCGTTCACTCTACTCACTAAGATTTTTTCGTCTTTGTATCCATTTTGCATTTTCCAGTTTAAGTTTTTGTAGTTTTTTTTTTGTGTTTGTCCAGTTTTTAATTTATATCCTCCTGAGTATATCCTTCTCGGTGAATCCTTTTAATCCCTCGATGTCCTTCGATGTCCTTCGATGTCCTTCCATCGCTGTAAGGCTAAGTCTCGTAGCTGCGCTGCTCGCAGGCGGCGGCAGAGAGACGGCTATGTACTTATGTATAAAGAAATATACTAATATACGTTGTTATGCACTCTCAAGTGGAGGCGCGAGGGGTATGCATATGCTGACCGTTTGTTACAATTATGCCGACACTAGCACTTTCTGTGTGCGGGCTAAGCCATTTTTATACCCTTGCAGAGGGTATTAAAATTTTGTCCAAAAGTGTGCAACGCAGTGAAGGAGACATTTCGACCCTATAAAGTATATATATTCTTGATCAGGATCACCTCCTGAGTTGATATGAGAATTTCCGTCTGTCTGTCTGTCTGTTTCTACGCAAACTAGTCTCTCAATTTTAATGTTATCGACTTGAAACTTTGCAGAAAAGGAAGGTTTCTTTGCACGCAGTATATAAGTCGCTGCCATATAACTGATTGAACGGAAATGGTATAACTTTGGTGTTTTTTGAGTTAGAGAGGTGATTTTTAGGGAGAGGTCAAATTTTAGGTGAGAGCTATTTTTGGCAAAAAATTATGACATGCCAAATTTCATAAGGATAGGCCGACTATATCCTATAGCTGCCATATAACTGAACGATCGGAAATGACCCAACTTTTGTGTTTTTGAGAATAGAAAGCTGGAACTTAGTACAAATTCTATTTTTAGTCAGTTGATCCAACTAACAAACTTCATGAGGATCGGCCGACTATATCCTATAGCTGCCATATAACTGAACGATCGGGAATGGTTTTTGGTAGAAATACCAACTTTGGTATTTTTGAAGATAGAAGCTTGGGACTTTTTTTTAGATGTTTTATTGTAATTAATTGGTTTTTTTATGATATTCTCATAGGAATCGGCCAACTATATCCGATGTTTGCGATATATATCCGGTTTTAACTGCAAGGGTTTATCAACTTCGGCTCCGCCCGAAGCTAGCTTTCCTTTCTTGTTTTTTTATATATATGTAATACATGAATATTATGTATGGCCATACGTGATAAATTTATGAAATTAAAATTGATTATGAAATAAAAAGTTCTATTCCATCGTTATGTATTAGTTGTTTATTATTTTTATTATTTGATATTGTTATTTTATCTCTATCTATCTATTTTATCTCTATCTTAACTAAATAACAAAAATTTTTTTTTGTTTTAGTTAAAGAGCTTCTAGTTTTGGTCTAGTTCCCTTAAGTGCCTGTTCTAATCTGAATTTTGATGCCTTAGCATAATTTGGACAATATGGACAATGTTCATATGCCATAGAAAGGTTCGTATTAAAACAACAGACGAAGTATTATAGCCATACATCTCAATCCACTTTGTCGGTTGTAAGAACGAATGAACTCATTAAGTGTTCTGTGGCTTTGCACTACGGTACCTACACTCTGGTGGAGATGTGCAGTCGAAGTTATGTTTTCAATATTTAAATTTCGGTTTCGGTTATGGTTCATGGCGTCTTAGTGTTTTTAGTCGTTTTAGACTTTTGGCATTTAGGACATTTTTTTATGTACTCTTATATGTCTTTGGACATATTTTTCCAGTAATAGTGTGTCTGGACCTTGTGCAAGGTTTTTGAAATGCCTGTATAACCACCTTGTGTTGGATCATCATGGAATGAAGACAATATAGCTTCTTTTCCTTATTATTTTATATTACGGTCACCGGGTTGAGTAGCGCTACTCTTAATGACTGCAATATATAATCGCCCATATTTTTTAAATTATAAATTGAAACATTTTCGAAGATATTTTCCCACGGTGCCACTTTGAGTGGAAAAATATGAGTGGAGCTCTAGCAAAACTGAAAAATCTGATATTCTCCTCATATCGGAGACCCATTTTACAAACAGATCCTATCTAACCCTCAGAGGATACGACATTATTGCTGTCAACCACCCAAACGAAAGAGGTCGCGGGAGTGCGGCCAAGTACGAGACCCTGCCAGCCATTAGAGAGGACTGGGTGCAATGCGCTAAAATTCAAGTCGCCACCACCAATGGAGACATTACCATTGCTGCTGCTTACTGGCTTACTGAAGTCGCCGACCTTATGTCTGACCACAGCGCTTTTGCCGTCTCTCTATGAACGTCCTAAGCTCGGCCCGGAAGAAGCTTATTTATAAGACGACGGACATCGAGATATTCCAGTCCTGGGTGTGCTCTGCCGCGAATCTTAACACAACTCTGGAATCCCCCGACCAGA